CAACAGTGCAGTACGTATGGCCGGTCTGCATGCAGTTCAAACAACACTAGGAGAAAAAGTTCTGAAGCCCATCCAACCGTCTTCAACTCGGTTGCTAAGTATCGAGATGTCGGCAACTAGACTGAAAGAAAGCTATGTCAGTATCCTGGTCAGTTCGGAACGAGAGGGAGAAGAACGTGGTGACGTGAAAGCTGTCGGTTTTTTTCACCTCTAGTCCAGTTACCGATTTATTGCTACAATCTTGCTGTTGTGTGATTTGCTGCTCCACGTCAGTCGTCTTTCCAAACCCGATCAGCGCGATGTATCGTCTGACGCAGTGAATCAGTGGACACACTTCACTACATACACTAAGGAGTCCATCTTGAATCAGATGAATTTGAAGCCCGACGCAATTGTTGACCATCTGTGCACATCGCCCATGGTACAGCAAGTCTTTCCATCTTTAACACAACTTGCAAAGATATACAGAGTTCTTCCTTGCCATACTGCCGATTCCGAGAGAACATTCTCGCAATTAAAGCTCGTCAAAACCATCCAACGAAATCGACTCAACCAAACCAGCCTGGATAATCTTGTTCGGATCGCAATTCATGGCCCAACTGCCGACAGTTATGACTACCAAGCCGCCATTCAAAAATGGGCAGAGAAAAAAAATCGACGCATTTCCCTGAAGAAATAAATGAACTTTGCTATCAATGAAATAACATCATGGACACATTTATTTCTGTATTTATTTATTTAACTTAATTATTTTACATAACAGTCAGGTAAATTGTTTGTGTATTTTGTATTATTCTATTTATTTATTCCACTCTGTTGTGTAAGAGAAAAACACAGTAATAATAATATTAATAATTAAATGGGCAACACAACACATTTCAGTATTTATTTTGGCTTTGTTATTTTACATCTAACAACAGTATATATACATAATCAATAACAGCATCTGACTACTAATATATATTTGTAACAAAAAAGTATTTCTCTGAAATAAATAAGAAGTAGTTAATAGTAGCATTACAATTGTTGTCTATTTTTTGTTCATGGCGTATTTGTGTGTCCAGTGTGTCATACCATGGTTTTGGTGGGGTTCACTGACTTGACACCTCAAAACAAACATCAAGTATATTAAGTAGCTCATGAATATTAATGAGCGACCGGCACTCTTGTCAACCTGGGCAGAACCCTGCACACATACATGATATTATACATATGCACATCAATTTGTTTCACAGTCTGATTCAAGATGGCTGAATGGCGGCCATTTTTGTGCTAAAAATCCTAAAAATCAAGCATTTCTCAGCTGTTTACAAATGGATTTTGTTCAAACTTGGTATATACATTAGACATTATGGGACCTTGATGCAAATAATTTTGTTTTTCAGATAAGATTAAAAATGGCCGACTGGCGGCCATTTTGTTTTAATGAATGTGGTTCTCGTTCTCTAATATTTTTGTCATTTTTGGTAAAAAATTATATTTTTGACTTCTTGTTGAAAACCACAAGTCTGCTTTGCTTTGTTATTATATATATATATATAACAGCGGAGCTATCTCAGACGAGAATATTGAAAATATCACTGGTTCATTGATATTACGTTACTCATATTTTTACTTACTCCAGATCCAATAAAAACAACACGAGGCACACTGTGTTTAAAAGCTTACAGACTTACACCACAGTTAATGCACATGTACAAAGAAGGGGACTTCACTCCAGAAAGGTAAGGGAATCCAGTATTTTGGGTGATTAATGTTTATGCTGAATCTCATTACAGTATATGCTTTGTTGCTTTATGTTTAAATGTTTCCAAACAAACCTCTCATTCCCTTGTATGGCACATTGAATTACAGTACAGTACAGTGCAGTGCAGTGTAGTGTAGTACAGTGTAGTGTAGTGTAGTACAGCGTAGTGTAGTGTAGTGTAGTACAGTGTAGTGCAGTGTAGTGTAGTGTAGTAGTGTAGTGTAGTGTAATGTAGTGTAGTGTAGTGCAGTGCAGTGTAGTGTAGTACAGTGTTGTGTAGTACAGTGTAGTGTAGTGTAGTGTAGTACAGTACAGTGTAGTGTAGTGTAGTGTAGTACAGTGTAGTGTAGTACAGTGTAGTGTAGTGTAGTGCAGTGTAGTACAGTGTAGTGTAGTAGTGTAGTGCAGTGTAGTACAGTGTAGTGTAGTAGTGTAGTGTAGTGCAATAATGTGGCATTGAATGTATGTCTGCATTATTCACATGCATAGTTCTTAATTAACCTTTTTTATTTTTTTTAAATTCATTTCAGTATAAAGAAATCATCTCTCAGTTATGAACAGATGTTTGAAGAAATTCCTATTGTAATTAAAAATTCTCATCTAATTAATACATTATTATGTGAAATTGAAAATAAATCACCACCAAAAGAAGGAAATTTCTTGAACCTAGCAACAGGGTGAGTTGAATATGGTAAATCAGTATGATCAGTATATAGTTGCTTAGCAACCATGATCAGATGAAGTGGTGTCCTAGCAACTTCTATTTAGTAATTATTGTGATCTATGTAATAGTTTGTTGATGTTTTCTGGTATGTGTATAGAATTCTGCAAATTTGTTGTTTCCTAATTTACAAAAGTTGCATTTATATAGATTTCTATATTCTAAAAGATCTTACTTAAAATCAAAAAAAATTTGTCTGCATCTTTATTGCTCTAGGTCTGTGCTTAAGAAGAATCTTCGTTTGTTGATGGACAGTGTTGATGAGCTGAATCAAGATACAAACAAATTCATAAATTATCAGAGAAATGTTGGTAAACAACAACAAGCCAAACAACAATACCTGTACAAGAGAGTAAGTGTATTTTCTTTGAACAAACTTTGAACTTTTCCATATTCATTAGAATCATGTAATACAAAATATTATAACTGAATTTTCTCCTTTTTTGTATTTATACAAAATTAATATTGAATGTTTAACAAGCAGCCTCTCGGCTGGGATAGCTCCGCTGTTAGCAATGCACATTTCAATTAAAGAACAGAAGATATCATTAGAAAATGAACAATATGCATAGTATCAATGCTCTGGGACTTGCTGTTTTCAACAAGAATTCAAAAATATCATTTTTCACCATAAATGATTGTGGTTTTTACCAAGAAGTCGAAAATATCACTTTTTACCAAAAATGACAAAAATAATCATCAAAATTAGAGAATTGAAGATATCATCATTAAATGAACAAATTTGAGAGTGGTCCACATGTAGTACATATATATGTAATATCAAAGCAATTGGACTTGTGGTTTTTAACAAGAAGTCAAAAATATCACTTTTTACTAAAAATGACAAAAATAGTCACCAAAATTAGAGAATTGACGATATCATTACAAAATGAACAAATTTGATAGAGGTCCACATGTAGTACCTATAATATATGTAATATCAAAGCAATTGGACTTGCGGTTTTTAACAAGAAGTTGAAAATATCACTTTTTACCAAAAATGACAAAAATATTCACCAAAATTAGAGAATTAAAGATATTACAAAATGAACAAATCTGAGAGAGGTCCGCATGTAGTACCTATATATGTAATATCAAAGCAATTGGACGTGCGGTTTTTAACAAGAAGTCAAAAATATCACTTTTTACCAAAAATGACAAAAATATTCACCAAAATTAGCGAATTGAAGATATCATCATGAAATGAACAAATCTGAGAGAGGTCTACCCAATGTACGCAGTCCGAAAACGGGGGACTTATGTTTTGACCTCTGTGTGTTCGTGTGTGTGTCCTTGCGTCTGTGCGTGCGTCCAGACCTGTATCTTAGAAATGCCTTGACCAATCACGATCAAACTTCACACATACATCATACATGATATTATACATATGCACGTCAATCTGTTTCATGATCTGATTCAAGATGGCCGAATGGCGGCCATTTTTGTGCTATAAATCATCAAAATCAAGTATTTCTCGGCTGTTTACAGATGGATTTTGTTCAAACTTGGTATATACAATAGACATTATGGGACCTTGATGCAAATAATTTTGTTTTTCAGATAAGATTTAAAATGGCCGACTGGCGGCCATTTTGTATTAATGAATGTGGTTCTCGCGTCATATCCTTGACTTGCTTTCACTGATTATATTCAGATTTTAAATATTCATTATACATCATGTTATAGATAAACAGATATATTGGTTTGATGATCCTATTCAAAATAGCCAAATGGTGGCCTTTTTTGTGCTAAACAATCATCAAATATCAAGCATTTATGGGTGGATTTCGTTCAAACTTGGTACATATATTAGACATTACAGGTTCCTGATGCACGTCATTTTATTTTTCAGATTGGATTCAAAATGGCTGTCTGGTGGCCATTTTGTTTTAATGATTGGGCTTCTAGAGCCATATCTCTTAAATTATATTTAAATTTTATATATTCGTTATACATCATGTGCAAGTGCAAGTGCTAATTGTGTCATGAGAAATATTTTCAATTTTTCAACACTTCATAGAAAATCATTGTACAATTTTAAACAGCGATAGTTTCAGAGTGACAATAGTATAATTGATAGTTGTATAAATACTGATTTATTCCTAAGGTCTAGTTTTTGGCGCAATTATAGACGCCTTCTTTATAAATAATGTTATTTCTGTTGTAATTTCTCTGTGGACCTTTGAGTCTGAAATAAAGTATAATAATAATATATATATACATGTATTCAAAATGGCTGATTTTGAATGCTGTTCCAGAGCAATATCCTTCAATATGGACAAGTACTTGTTTTCTAATGATTTCTTCTGTTTTTAATTGAAATGTGCATTGCTAACAGCGGAGCTATCTCAGCCGAGAGGCTGCTTGTTTTATATCACTTTTCATTATCTAGATTATTCAACTTTTCATCAGTATTATGTAGTCCACCATCTTGAGTGAGCATTATCTTGTTTGGCTTGACTTCCCCTTTAACCTTTTTTTCCCCATGTGCACAAAATCAGATTCCTTTAGTTCATGCTAACTAACTTCTGAACTGTTTTTTATAGACACAAGAAAACATGGCATTACAAGGAAGAGGGGAAGCTCCCCTTCCAGAAGAAGATCTCAGCAAGATTTTCAAACCTATCACAGTGCCAAGTAGACTAGATAGCTTACTGGTAGCTGGACAAATCAAACATCATACTGACCTTGTCAATCAATTTGCTTCTCAAAGTTTTGGGAAATTATTTATGTGTGAAGCTTTGCAGCCCAAGCAAGAATAATCTTGTTAGATGTTCACATTCATTGTCAAATTATGTAGTCATGTTGTCTTCACAGACTATTTAGAATGACAGCCCCCACATGGTATTTCTGTCTGAGTAGGTCATCAAATCCACCATTTTATTCAAAATGCTTGGTAGCTAGTCCTCATAATCATGACTGAAGATTGTCAAGACCAGCACAAGAAGTAATTTCGATGCCTCAAATAAAAAAAAGCAACATTTAAAGTGATTGCACACAACTGGCTTCTTGAATGATGATGGTTGCCCCACTATATGGCTTGTCAATGTTTAATTTGAAATATCATGAAATCCTGAATATACATTACTTGTTTACATAGAATTCAAACACATGCACTGCACAGTGACTGTAGCACGTTAGTGTCTTGTATATCATCCACTACTTCAAATTTTTGACAAGTTATTGACATTATCAAACACAATGGCAAATACTGGTACACGAGAATCCTGGAAATGATCTGTATTATCGTTAAAAGCAGCAATCTTTTTATGCATTTCTCCTTTCAACTGAGATCTAAAAAGACTGTGTATTGAAATAAGTAGGTATTTATGTACAGTAATTGTATTTCATCTAATCTTTAAAGCCATGAAACAAACTTGTAATAAAATTGGTCAACACTTTCATCTCTTATGACTGAACTCATTTATATTCTGTGTATTGCCTGTTTAGAGACACTATAGAGTTGTTGTGTTTATGTCCATGGTATTCAAGAGATTGCACCATCAGGGTATTAGCCAGGAGTTTGAAAATACCTGTCAAAAATATGGTAAAAAATTATTTGGAGCATTGTATTTTACGAACAAAAGAAAAAAAATAGTTTTGGCAGGTGTCTAATACACTGCACCATAGGAATGCAAGACAAAGCATAGAATTCTACATGCCTAAATATTTCAGCAAAATTTATGTAAACAAATATTTTACTCTGTATTTCTGCCGTGTCTCCCCCTGCAGTAGTTTCTAATGGTCCACTCCTAAGACATAAAAATTGTCCTAGAAAAACACATTATCATATTGACCATCTCTCAGACTTTTGATACCTTGGGTAATTTAAATCAAGCGGTATGGGTTACTGGTGCATTATGTGCCTGGGAACTGAATTAAATCTTGGGAAATCTAGATTTCAAGCCATTATATATCAAGGACTTTATATAGTGTTTGCAACATAATGAACTCACTACAACTCAACGCATTCTGGAAAAATGTAAACTATCAGTAGGTACAGTAGTGTTTACATGTCACTTCCGGTAGATACAGTAGTGTTGACATGTCGCTACCGGTAGATACAGTAGTGTTTACATGTCACTACCGGTAGATACAGTAGTGTTTACATGTCACTTCCGGTAGATACAGTAGTGTTTACATGTCGCTACCGATAGATACAGTAGTGTTTACATGTCGCTACCGGTAGATATAGTAGTGTTTACATGTCACTACCGATAGATACAGTAGTGTTTACATGTCGCTATCGGTAGATACAGTAGTGTTTACATGTCGCTACCGGTAGATACAGTAGTGTTTACATGTCACTACCGGTAGATACAGTAGTGTTTACATTTCACTACAGGTAGATACAGTAGTGTTTACATGTCGCTACCGATAGATGCAGTAGTGTTTACATGTCACTATCGGTAGATACAGTAGTGTTTACATGTCACTACCGGTAGATACAGTAGTGTTTACATGTCACTATCGGCAGATACAGTAGTGTTTACATGACACTACCAGTAGATACAATAGTGTTTACATGTCACTATCGGTAGATACAGTAGTGTTTACATGACACTACGGATAGATGCAGTAGTGTTTACATGTCACTACCGTTAGATACAGTAGTGTTTACATGACACTACCGATAGATACAGTAGTGTTTACATGACACTACCGGTAGATGCAGTAGTGTTTACATGTCACTATCGGTAGATACAGTAGTGTTTACATGACACTACCGATAGATGCAGTAGTGTTTACATGTCACTACCGTTAGATGCAGTAGTGTTTACATGACATTACCGATAGATGCAGTAGTGTTTACATGTCACTACCGGTAGATACAGTAGTGTTTACATGTCACTACCAATAGATGCAGTAGTGTTTACATGTTATTACCGGTAGATACAGTAGTGTTTACATGTCACTACCGGTAGATACAGTAGTGTTTACATGTTATTACCGGTAGATACAGTAGTGTTTACATGTCACTACCGGTAGATACAGTAGTGTTTACATGTCACTATCGGCAGATACAGTAGTGTTTACATGAAACTACCGATAGATGCAGTAGTGTTTACATGTCACTACCGGTAGATGCAGTAGTGTTTACATGTTTACATGTCACTACCGGTAGATACAGTAGTGTTTACATGTCACTACCGATAGATGCAGTAGTGTTTACATGTTATTACCGGTAGATACAGTAGTGTTTACATGACACTACCGGTAGATACAGTAGTGTTTACATGACACTACCGGTAGATACAGTAGTGTTCACATGACACTACCGGTAGATGCAGTAGTGTTTACATGACACTACCGTTAGATGCAGTAGTGTTCACATGACACTACCGGTAGATGCAGTAGTGTTTACATGACACTACCATTAGATGCAGTAGTGTTTACATGTCACTATCGGTAGATACAGTAGTGTTTACATGACACTACCGTTAGATGCAGTAGTGTTTACATGACACTACCGGTAGATGCAGTAGTGTTTACATGACACTACCGTTAGATGCAGTAGTGTTTACATGACACTACCGTTAGATGCAGTTGTGTTTACATGACACTACCGGTAGATGCAGTAGTGTTTACATGACACTACCGTTAGATGCAGTAGTGTTTACATGTCACTACCGTTAGATACAGTAGTGTTTACATGA